TTTGGTTCACTCAAAACTCATTAGAATCTCATTCCTCTCACGAAGTTAGTGCACTTGATGTTATCCCATACTGATGTAAGCTGTCCCAAGAGAAAAATCCCGGTTTCAATCACACAAATCTGCTCGAGTTTGCTGACGATCTGCACCAGATTTTGGAACAATGTAGCTCACCTTTCATGTCGGAACTGCCACAGAATCTTGGAAATCGAAGTGATGAAATAAAGTAAGAACGAGAGAGATCACACGATGTAGTGAAAGAGAGACATTTTGCGGTCAGGCAACGATTTTGTTAGTTTAACTGAAATTAGCGGGTCTATTTCCGTGTATCTTGACTGCATGATTCATTGCCTTCTGTAGACACGACTTAATCTCCAACCTGAATTAATTTCTTCTAATTTAGGATAAAACGAACACGTGGTAGTAAGCTGGATGTATGGGTCTAACGTTTGAAGGGAGATGAGATTGACATAAAGTTCCATTGATCACAGGCACACCGAAAAGGCGCAAACGGTTATATTTTTATTCATTCGGTGCCTTTCCTTGGTTAGTCGCACAAGTCACTTTGCTTTGCCAGCGTGGACATGTGCTGAAGTGACCATGTTATTTGACGTATCTAAGAAAAAACAAAACGACCCGGATGCGCACTGTTAAACAGTTTGTGATGGAACTTACCCCCTCAACCCTCCTCACATAGATGTATTTTGCTAATATCAGCAATGTTTGGATGAGTTCATGCACGCTGTTGAACGAAGAAACGCGCAGACGAGGATTGCGTCCTATACATTACGGGAATATTCGCCACGATACATTTGATAGTGTCCTGAACTCACTCAAAATATCAGCTTTGTTTCACCGGAGCTGACCTGTAAGCTAATAAGTCTCTTACGTCTTTTACCAGTGAGGCCGGAAATTCGAGGGCACCTTCAACAGTGGCCAATGAATTAGTGGCCCCGTAAAATTTGTGTACTAATTTATGTTAATACCAGGTTTACGCAACTCCAATCTCAGCGTCGAACGAATGGTCAAAACATCGACTGTGGAAATAAAGGCTTCGCATTTTATTTTTTAGATTGTCATTTGAGTAACCGAAAACGACTGCATTTGATAAGCTTTGAAGAAATATTCTCAGCCTTATGGTTTAACCGAAGGTGTTGCAGACCACAAGGCGCATTGTCTGTTTCTTTTCGGGAAAAGATTGCTCTCGACGGGCTAGCCATCAGGTCTCCATTAGGTCCCATATTGGCAGATATTTTCCTAGCCAAAATGGAGAACGAAAATTTGAGAGAAACATTTCGACATTCCAACATTTATTGCAGATACCTCGACGGTACTTTTATCGTTTGTGATTCTCACATCAGCCACACACAGCTTCTCGACGGATTCAACCGGTGTCATCCGGTTATTCTTTTCACCTGCGAATTAGAGAAGAGCGGACAGCTACCCTTCTTGGATGTGTTATTAACAAAGCGAGATGACGGTACCATCCAAAAAAGCGTCTTCCGCAAAAACAGCGTGGGTTGGACAGTATACGCAGTTTTGCAGCTTTGTTCCCTTGAAATATAAACCCAACCTGGACAGATATTTATCATATGAAGCGCGTGCAATTTACAGCGAAGATACACTGCAGTCCGAGATACGTTTTATTAATGACGTATTTCGGTTAAGTGGTTACCCGGAAGCTTTTGCTGATAAATATATA